AAAAAAAAAAAAAAAAAAGGAAAAATAAGAAAGAGAAGAAGGTGTGAAGAAGGAGAGGAAGAGAAAGAACGATTTATCGCGACTGCCTTCGCCCAGATTAACTTTCGTAACTCGTTCGTTAAGCGATCTCGTCTCGCTTAAAGAGGCATCGATTATCGCTGTTGCGTTGATCGATCGATCGATCGATCATTCGGCCGCTCTCGATGGCGCCCCCATCGACTCCTATTCCATCTATCGATCGGTGAATTTTGTTGAAAAGTTGAATCTGCGTTTGGATTGGAACAGTTTCCACCGTTACGTGATCGAAGCGAGTAACTTTTCTTTTTAGATTATATTAAACGAGATTCTATTTATTCGTCATCGAAATCTTCTTTCTCTCTCTCTCTCTTTCTACGGAGAAAAACGAAATATCGAGAATTCATTCCTTTTACGCGCGAAAGAAAGTAAAAATTATCGAAAGTTGCTTTCAAGAATTATTTTTCGTTAATGGATATTGCGCGTCGAGAGTGAAAGTTACTCCTCCTCCCCCACGCAGAAAGACTCTAGCAAAGACTCTCTCAAATTATATTTGCATTTTGCAAAATATATATATATAAATAAAAAAAATAAGACCTTTCCTTCATCCTTAATGGCGCGAAATTCGAAAAGAGAGGGAAGGAAATATCCTTGGAGCCAATTTCTCTGGAAAGAAAAAAAGAAAAGAAAAAAAGGAAGGGAATATTCTTCGAGGATATTCTCGTTTCTATATCGATCCCAAGCGGAATTTCTCGAAACATCTCGTGGAGACGTTCGAGGCGACACGTTCGTGACCTCCGCGGTTTCGTAACACGCTCGTAACGAAAAGTGACGCGCGCACAGCCGAGAACAAAACGGTGCTCCACGTAACCGGCGAGAGAGCAATCTGCACGTAACCGACCGGCCGCTTACGTAAGATGGTTGGCTGGGCCCGCCGAGAGGAAGTCTCCTCCACCGGAAGGGATTTCGAACGGACGTGACGGAGATTCGAAGAGGACTATTGCTACCATTTTCGATCCCCTCCTTGTTCGGGAGCCCGATTTCTTTGAGCTCGCCGACTGTCATTCGATTGGACGATAATTGGAAAACTGGAGGAATCGTGCTCTCTCTCTGGAGTTCGATGAAATTTTCTTAGATTTAAGGAAATTCTGATTCTGAATATTTGTTTGAACGATTGCGTAAAGAAGCAGGATTCGATTTGAGAGGATATTCTAATGATGAAGAATGAAAAGCTGTACGACTCAAACAAGTAATTTAAAATCGACACGGAGAGAATATCCATCCTTTCTTTAAATTTGCCAATATTATATAAATTTTTAAAAATGATTAACTTTACACCGTCATGGAAAAATATGTTGAATGTTTCCTTCAACTCTCCTAACTTTCCAGTATTTTAATCCTCGCGAATTAAAAATTTTCTTATTACACCCTCTGAAACCTAATATTCTATTTCTTTTTACAGTCGACAATATTTTATTCCAATCGAGATTGCAAACGAAAAGAAAAAGAAAAGGTGGGCGGAGCCGAGGATTTCGCCTTGAAATTAAGCTTCTTCTTCCTCCTCGTCGTGGAAACGTGACGGAGCACGCCGCCACGAAGTTATTGATCTTCCGCCGTTCGTAACGCGAGAGAACCGGAGCCTCGAGATTTATTGGGTTACCTACGCGGTCTACACGTGTCCCCCCCCATCGTAAGTTTCGGCTTAATTTCGTTTTCTGAAAGGAGTCGAGACCTTCCTGTCCGGCGACGGCCATCGGGAATCGGAGCACTTTGAACGGCCACTCCTTTTCGCAGTAAATTTCAACGAAAGCGAACGGTGATCGATCTTGAAACTTGTTCAACGTGTTTTTTTTTTAAGCCTAATTGTTTCAGAGATCGAAGATTTAGAGGCTAATCCGTGAACACCGTGGGGTTAGGTAAGGGTTGTTTGCTCGCCACTTCTCGATTGTTTGCTTACACATTAGTTTGGATATTATAATTTCTGCTTTCTTCTGAGATTTAGAGGGTAATAATGATAATTGTTTGAGAAAATAACGTTTAATCAAAATCTGGGGATAAATACTTTCTACTTTTGAAATTTATCCTCCACTTCTCACACTTAACTATCCTTAATCAATATCCAATCTAAAACTACTTGTCAAATCTATATCTCTATATCTCCACCATCGTCCCTATACAATATTCCTCCAATTCCAATCCCCTTTTCTCTTCTGTTCTCACAATTAATATCGCTCTCTCTCTCTCTCTCTCTCTCTTCCCCTGGGAATATACTGGGACAATAGAGACAGACTTCCGTCTGAATAACATATATATATAAAAGAAAGTGGAAAACGTCGGTTCAAGACGATCGACCGATCAGGATCGACGAGGATCTCTCGATCACGATACCTATTCCTCCTCCTCCTACGCTTTAATTGGTGGCTGCCACGGTGGTGGTGGGCCCGATTAAAAGTTTCCGCGTCGCTTCGAACGAGCGTTGCGTGCGCTCAGCTTCCGCCGATGCTTGAAAAATGGACGAGGAACGGGTTAAGTGGTCGAAGAAGAAGATCCTCCGTGGACAAGTCGGATGGATCGTCGACTTCGCGTGATCGAACCATCCAACGATTCTTTGTATCCTTTTCTCGTATTTTTTTTTCTTTTTTTTTTTTTTTTTACTGTTCGTTCGTGCTCGATGGTGGACAAAGGGAGAGGATGGAGAGGAGAACAGATGTTCGAGAGAAACGTCATATATATATATATATTCAGTGGTTGGTCGTCGAAGGTTTAGATTTTGCAATTTCTTTTGCAAATTTTGGATTAATGAAATGTCTCGAGACGTGAATTGTTTTAGAAAAATGTTTAAAAATTTGTTCTTAAGGTGTATATATAACTATAGAAAATTTAAAATTTGATGTTCTTTTTTCCATATAATCGTCGAGCAAGGGGAAAACATAGATTTCGAGAATTCGAGGGGGGAGATGAGAGAAAGAGGGAATAAAAAACGTGGATTTTTTATCTTCTTGGAACAACGCTGTTAAAATCGCGATATTTCCACGTAAAATTCTTTATACCTCTTGCAAGAGGTTGGTCTCGAGGTTGGAATTTATTCCCATAGAGGAGGCCAAGTACAAAGTCCCGGAAACACGAGTCAACGAGTAAAAGAATCAGCGTTTTCGGACTTCTCCGAAAAGACAAACCTGTTTTTAACTTTGTGTTCTCGTCAAGTATATACATATATATATATAGAAAAGGATACATTTCTTGGAAGAAGTCCAGATGAGGTGGTTGAAGGATGTCCAGGGCCGAGAGAACCTGGAAAAAAAAGAAAGAAAAGATCGAAATTATGGGCGAATTCGAAAGAGGAATTTGCAAAAACTGTGATCATAATGGAACGTGTAATTTAAAAGTCACGCGTCTTGTTCACTCGTGCATCATCATCCCCATAACGAATCCATTTATTTTTATCTCTCTCAGATCATTTTATCAAACAGATATTTGATCGAAGTATAATATCATATTTTAAAATCTTTCGACTCCTTATTTAAAAATTGCCGAATAATATAAGGTAATAAACACGAAAATATGAAATTTTTGAAACAACAGTCGGTTTCTTTCGTTCCGTATCGACATTTTTCTCGACGCTTAAAATTAATGGAATTCGAAAACACGAACGAGACATCGGCACGTTCCTCCAGTGGCCGCACGATAATGCGTTTATCTGGCTCGTAAAACAAAATGCCCGCCGTATTTTCCGCAGATAACCACGAAGTAGATAAGTGAGTTATGGAAAATCGGCAAACTCGGAGGTGAAGGAAGGGCGCGAGATCGATTTTAAGCGAGGAGAAGTTGTTCTTCCGCGTCGAGTTCGAACATCTTGAATATTTTTTTTTTAATAAAATAAGAAGTTGAACAAGAAGTTACGCTTGAAAATCGAGCATCGATTGGAACGTGAAATTTATATGCCGATTAAAAGTTGTATACTGTTGTGGATTATTAATAAATCGCGAGAGAAGAAGAGTATTGTACATTATTGTAATAATTAGAAGTTGGATAATTAGAAGAGGTAAAAGGGAAGAATTTTAATTTTCCTTTATTTCTAAAGTTCAAACGATATTTGCATAAAATTTGCATGGGGAAAATTTCGAGCACAAATTTGCCCGAAAAGAGAAAAGAACAAAAGTATATATCTCGTAGATATAATTTAAAAAGTGACCCGTTCAAGTTTATGTTTAAGTCTATGTTTCCAATGCATAAAATTTGTAGAACAAAGTTCGAAAAATTCTTTCTCTGAACTGGAATAAAAATGTCGAAGGAAATACGAAGAACAAAAACATAAAAGGATATAACGGGGGATAATTTAACACGAGTGAGCGTGTTTTTCAACAATGTTAATATTCATCGATATCGTTCTCGAGAAGTTGTGAGAGAATTAAATGTGAAAACGCGTTCACAATTATAAAGCGTCGTTATTTTGCGAAACAAATGTAACAAACTTACGTTTTCGTGTTTGAAGAAGCAGAGCATCTTCAACTCCCTGAAGACTCGTTTGCTGCTCACGAGGCTCTGAAAGACATTCGGCAGTTTTTTCAAGGCCACTCTTCTACCATCCCTCGGATCTGTCACTGCCCTGTAAATTACAAAGGAAATTAGCGTTATCAATAAGAATCTGTAGAGAGAAAGAGAAAGAGAGATCCTTCTCGAATTTATTCCTACATTTCTTCCATCTTTCTTCCCTTTGAAAAACGCTTGTTGCTTTACACGTTATAAGATCGTTCGACAACATTTTTACTTTTTCTTTTTTAAATTCGCTTTGGAGAATGT